TTTTTTTCTTAATTGAGCGAGAGAGATGGAGAAAGTGTGCAGGTTCACGTGCCCAAATGGGGGAGGGCAGGGGGAGAGGGAGGGAGAGACTCTTAAGCGGGCTCCACGCTCAGCTTGGAGCCCCCACAAGGCTTATTACCCTCCTGATGGTGAGATCACAATCTGAGCAGAAATCAAGAGTCAGAGGCTTACCTGACCGAGCCTCCCAGGTGTCCCCCACATCCTGTCTTTTTAAAGGGGTTTGATCAGGCCTGGCCTTTGCCGTCCTCTCTCTTTCCTTCTGCTGGTTATCAGTTCTGACTGTGTCACCGGCTGATGCTGGTCTGGGCGATATCCGGTCTCAGCTGCAGTGCCCTGAGCTGCTCTGTCGTTGACACAGGCCCCTGCTTGACGTGAGTGGCTCTGTCTTACTCTCTACACTTCTCCTCGCCATCCCCTTCCCTTCCTCATCCAAAGACGGAGAGTGAGATCTGAAGGAAATAATTGGTTCTAAGGAGGCTGAAAAACATTTTGGATTCAAGGAACTTTCTACACAGGAATATTGTAATAATAATGGCATGCATGGAGTCTCACCAAGTTCCTGGCACCCCTATTTCTGTTTAACCCTCATAAATGGGTATTATCCCATTTTATGGTTTAGGAAACAGGTTCAGAAGGGCCAGATGACTCTCCAATGTTGCCCAGTAAGGGGCAGAGCCTGGACTTGAGTTCGAGTTCGGGCCTGACCAGGCTCCCCACTGCTCTGTGATAAGAAACAAGAGATGTAATGACCCCGGCTGCTGGAGGGCCTGAAATGATAGTTACTTTGAGATTTTCCCTAACTCTCGAGTCTTCTTTTGGCTCTCTCAGTCCAGATTTCCTTTCTGAGCCTGGAAACCATTCTTGGGTTGAAAGATAATGTTTGCCTGAATAAATTAACTTATTTGACAGACCTTGAGTAGGAAACTGAAATTTGTGTTTTCCTGGCACTCCAACCTGATGTATAATTATTATGAAACTGTTGTGAAACTTCTGTTGCTTTATAAAGATAACTACTGTTTAATGTTTTCTTTGCAGTTAGTATATGTGAAAGAATAGGTAAGCTTGGAAATATGCACATAATTGAGGATTTTCATGAATCTTCTGTGTAATATACTTCCTCATTCACGCTTGATTCTGTTGTCAAAAAGACACTGAAAAGATAATTATTATAAACATTCCTTACGTTCTTACCCTAACCTTCACTCATGTATCAGGTTACCAGACCCACCGTCAGTTGATTTTCTTCACCTTTTAACTGGTGATTATGTGAAGGGTTGCTCAATTGTGTTTTGTACTTACAACAGTGTAATATTTTGAATGTGTGTTTACGTGAAATCTTATACGACAGTCAGCCTAAAACACTTGCCCATTACCACTCAAGATCCTGTTGAAGTGATGTTTTGAACTTTTTAAAACTAGTGCCAAACTGTAAGTTTCAAAATATTCTTATCTCTTATCTTAATTCAACAATACATATTGTGATTAGCAACAAATCTTAAGGTTATTGTGCAAATGCCTTCACAAATTCCTCTTGTCCCGGTGCCCTGGAAGCTGCACTTCCCTCTTGAGAATTTGTGGTAACCCAGAGACTTTGCTTGGAACCATAGAAAGCCAGTCATGGGTTCTTTTAGCATTGCCTTTCATATAATCTCTCTACAACAAAAATTTCTGGTTTACTTATTGCTGAGTTTTGCATGAGCTATTCACATTCTCCTTCTATACAAAGGCTAAAATTCAGTATAATACTCATCGAAGACTAATTTAATGGGTGGTATTTCATTTATATTCATTGGAACACTTGTTAATAAGTCATCTTTTAATAAATAATCTTACGGGGGCGCCTGGGTGGCGCAGTCGGTTGAGCGTCCGACTTCAGCCAGGTCACGATCTCGCGGTCTGTGAGTTCGAGCCCCGCGTCAGGCTCTGGGCTGATGGCTCGGAGCCTGGAGCCTGTTTCCGATTCTGTGTCTCCCTCTCTCTCTGCCCCTCCCCCGTTCATGCTCTGTCTCTCTCTGTCCCAAAAATAAATAAACGTTGAAAAAAAAAATTAAAATAAATAAATAAATAAATAAATAAATAAATAATCTTACGGAATTGCTGGCACATTTAGGTAGATTTTATTAAACCAATTGGTAATTACCTGTTACATTCATTTTCTCTTAAACTTCAATTTAGCTAGTTAGTCATACTTTTTGTAATAATTTCCTATTGTCACCACCTGTCAAAATTTGACATGTTCTCATTTGTTTTTAGTAAATCTAATGTTGATTTTTTGTGGTAGTGGGAAAAATCTCATTTTGATTTTAACCTTAGTGTTCTCCACTTGAATTTAGCAAATAGTTTTTGCATATACATAGTGTTAGAAGCAGAAGAAGGTATGTATTATAAGACAGCTTCTGCTCTCAAGGTTTAGGGAGTATAAGAAAATACACGAATTGAAATAGAAGACCCAGTAACATTGTTTATAGAACTTTAAGCAAGGAAAATACTAGATC